TAATTTCCTGGTTGACCCTTTCATCTTCTAGCAGGATGGTACTTAACCTCCACGTGTTTGAGGTCCTTCCAAACTTCTTCTTGTGATTGAGTTCTAATTTCAAGGCGTTATGGTCTGAGAATATGCAGGGGACGATCACAATCTTTTGGTATCGGTTCAGACCCGATTTGTGACCCAGTATGTGGTCTATTCTGGAGAAAGTTCCATGTGCACTTGAGAAGAATGTGTATTCACCTGAGTTTGGATGTAAAGTTCCGTAGATATATGTGAAATCCATCCGGTCCAGTGTATCATTTAAAGCTCTCGTTTCTTTGGAGATGTTGTGCTTAGAAGACCTATCGAGGGTAGAAAAAATGCTAGATTGAAGTCACCAAGTATAAATGTATTATTATCTAAGTATTTCTTCACTTTGGTTAATAATTGGTTTAAGTATTTGGCAGCTCCCACATTCGAGGCATATATATTGAGAATTGTTAAGTTCTCTTGTTGGATAGATCTTTAAGTATGATATAGTGTCCCTCTTCGTCTCTCACTACAGTCTTCGGGGTAAATTTTAGTTTATCTGATATAAGGATGGCTACCCCTGCTTTCTTTTGAGAACCATTTGAATGGTAAATGGTTCTCCAACCTTTTATTTTCAGGTTGTAGGTGTCCTTCTGTCTAAAATGAGTCTCTTTTAGACAGCAAATAGATGGGTCCTGCTTTTTTATCCAGTCTGAAACCCTGCGCCTTTTCATGGGGTCATTGAGCCCGTTTAAGTTCAGAGTTACTATTGACAGATATGAGTTTAGTGTCATCATGATATCTATTTAGTCCTTGTTTTTGTGGATTGTTCCACTGAACTTCTTCTTAAAGGGGAATTTTAAGAGTCCCCCTTAAAATTTCTTGTAGAGCTGGTTTGGAGGTCACATATTCTTTCAGTTCCTGCCTGTCTTGGAAGCTCTTTATCTCTCCTTCCTTTTTGAATGAGAACCTTGCTGGATAAAGTATTCTTGGTTGCATGTTCTTCTCATTATGACCCTGAATATATCCTGCCAGCCCTTTCTGGCCTTCCAGGTCTCTGTGGAGAGGTCTGCCATTACCCTAATATTCCTCCCCATGAAAGTCAGGGACTTCTTGTCTCTGGCTGCCTTAAGGATCTTCTCTTTATCTTTGGAATTTGCAAGCTTCACTATTAAATGTCGAGGTGTTGAACGGTTTTTATTGATTTTGGGGGGGGGATCTCTCTATTTCCTGGGTCTGAATGCCTGTTTCCCTTCCCAGATTGGGAAAGTTTTCAGCTACGATTTGTTCAAATACACATTCTGGCCCTCTGTCCCTTTCGGAGCCCTCAGGAACCCCAATTAAACGTAGGTTTTTCTTCCTTAGGCTGTCATTTATTTCCCTTAATCTGTCTTCATGGTCTTTTAATTGTCTGTCTCTTTTTTCCTCAGTTTCCCTCTTTGCCATTAACTTGTCTTCTATGTCACTCACTCGTTCTTCCACCTTGTTAACCCTCATCGTCAGGACTTCTAGTTTGGATTGCATCTCATTCAATTGATTTTTAATTTCTGCCTGATTGGATCTAAATTCTGCAGTCATGAAGTCTCGTGAGTCCTTAATGCTTTTTTCTAGAGCCACCAGTAGCTGTATAATAGTGCTTCTGAATTGGCTTTCTGACATTGAATTGTAATCCAGATTTTGTAACTCTGTGGGAGAGAGGACTGTTCTGATTCTTTCTTTTGAGGTGAGGTTTTCCTTCTAGTCATTTTGCTCAGTGCAGAGTGGCCAAAAACAAGTTGTATTTGGAAAAGGAGAAAAAGAGAGAGAAGGAAAGAAAAGAGAAAAAGAAAAAAGAAAAAGAAGAAAAAAGAGAAGAAAAAGAGAAAGAAAAAGAAAGAAAGGTGAAAAAAGGCGGGGTAGGGGAAGCAATCAGAAATCAAAAAGAAAAATAAAACAAAAAACACGGGGGAGTATCTTCCGATTCTGTATACTTTAAGTCCCTTGACTTTCCCTGGAACTGGTCCGTCTAGCTGGTGTTCTGGGGGAGGGGCCTGCTGTGCTGATTTTCAGGTGTTAGCACTTGGGGGAGCTGCTCTGCCCCCTGCCTGGTGCAGTGCACAGTGGGGGTTGTTTACCCCGTGAGGCCCCAGGATGAACGGCCCCAGTGGCTATGGCAGCTCTGGAAGCCTGGATTCAGCCCCCGCAGGAACTACGGGGCTCTCTGTCCGCAGGGTCTGGAGGCTCCAGGGCGGGGCCGCTGATCTGCTCAGCTCGGGGCAGGAGCGTCCTTGCTGTCCTGGGCCCTCCAGGCCTCTGCCTGTCCGGGGGGAGGCCAGATCCTGGGCTGTGTCCCAGCGCCCTGTGCTCCGGGGCCTGCGCTGTTGGATTCGCACTCCCGGTTGCGCAGCCGCCTCTCTGCAGAGCCTCTGGAGCCCCTCCGAGCTGCTCCCGCCCCGCAGCCCCCTCCTTGGAGCCGCTGCCCGAGCCCCTCCCAGTTGCTCCAGGTCCTGCTGTGCGCGCTGCAGCCCTTAGGGAGCTCGGCGCACTCTCCTGCGCCGCAGGTGTCTGTTAGTGTCCCAGGGAGCCCGAGGGCATCCCCGCCCTCCTGGGTCCTGCTCTAAATACCTGAGAGCCCCTTTCCGCCCGCCCGGGAAGGTTGGTGCAGCTCCTGCTTCTCCGGGACGGGGCTCTCCTGTGCTGGGGACACTCGCCCCGGCCTCAGCCTGGCTCCTCGCGGGGCCTCTCCCCCTTGGAGGCCTTTTGTTTCTTTATTTCTTTTTCCCCGTCTTCCTACCTTGATAGAAGCATGAACTCTTTTCACTGTAGCATTCCAGCTGTTCTCTCTTTAAATCTCAGGCCGAATTCGTAGGTTTTCAGGATGATTTGAAACTTATCCAAGTAATTTGGTGGGGACAGGTGATTTGGGGACCCTACTCTTCCGCCATCTTGCCCCTCCCTATCTAAAAATATTCTTAAAAAAATAGAAAAAGGAGAAAAATATCCAAATACATTCTACCAGTCTAGAATTACACTAATACCAAAACCAAATACGTTTTTAAAAAGAAAAATACATGTCACTTTATCTAATGAACACAAACAAAAACTCCCCCCAAAATATTAACAAACTGTATACAAAAATACATTATAAGATCATCCACCACAATCAAATTAGATTTATTTTGGTTATGCAAGTGTGGTCTAATATTGGTCAATCAATCAACATAACACACTACAACAAAACAAAGAAAAAAATCATATTGTCATTTCAATACATGCAAAAAATTGAAATCGGAACAGCGTTGTGGTGCCCCCAGCTCTGGTTTTCTTTTTCAATATTCCCCTGGCTATTCAGGGTCTTTTCTGATTCCACACAAATTTTAAGATTATTTGTTCCAACTATCTGAAGAAGGTCCATGGTATTTTGATAGGGATTGCATTAAACATGTAAATTGCCCGGGGTAGAATAGACATTTTCACAATATTAATTCTTCCAATCCAAGAACATGGAATATTTTTCCAACTCTTTGAGTCTTCTTCAATTTCTTTCAGAAGTGTTCTGTGCTTTTTAGGGTATAGATCCTTTCCCTCTTTGGTTAGGTTTATTCCTAGGTATATTATGCTTTTGGGCACAAAAGTAAATGGGATTGATTCCTTAATTTCTCTTTCTTCAGTCTTATCGTTAGAGTATAGAAATGCCACTGATTTCTGGGCATTGATTTTGTATCCTGACACATTGCCAAATTGCTTTATGAGTTCTAGTAGTGTTTGGGTAGACTCCCTTGGGTTATGTACAGTGTCATGTCATTTGCAAAGACGGAGAGTTTGTCTTCTTCTTGGCCAATTTGAATGTCTTTTATTCTTTTTGTTGTCTTATTGGTGAGCCTAGGACATCTAGTACTATGTTGAAAAGCAGTGGTGAGAGTGGACATTCCTGTCTTGTTCCTGATCTCAGGGGAAAGGCTCCCAGTGTTTCCCCATTGCGAATGATATTTGCTGTGGGCTTTTCATAGATGGCTTTTAAGATGCTGAGGAATGTTCCATTTATCCCTACACTCTGAAGAGTTTTGATCAGGAATGGATGCTGTATTTTGTCAAATGCATTCTCTGGATCTATTGAGAGGATCACATGGTTCTTGTTTTTTCTCTTGTTGATATTATCTATCACATTGATTGCTTTACGAGTGTTGAACCAGCCTTGCATCCTGGGGATAAATCCCACTTGGTCATGGTGAATAAATTGCTCAATTTATCCTATTGGCTAGTATCTTGTTGAGAATGTTTGCATCTGTGTTCATCAGGGACATTGGTCTATAATTATCCTTTTTGGTGGGGTCTTTGGTTTTAGAATTAAGGTGATAGAACAAGTGGAAGTATTCCATCTGTTTCTATCCTTCAGAACAGCTCTAGTAGAATAGGTATTGTTTCTTCTTTAAACGTTTGATAGGATTCCCCTTGGAAGTCATCTGGCCCTGGAATTTGGTGTTTTGGAGGTTTTGATGCCTGCTTCAATTTCCTCCCTGGTTATTGGCCTGTTCAGGTTTTCTATTTCTTCCTGTTCCAGTTTTGGTAATTTGTGGTTTTCCAGAAATGCATCCATTTCTTCTATATTGCCCAATTTATTGGAATACAGCTGCTCTAATATGTTTTTTAAATCATTTGTATTTCCTTGGTATTGGTGGTGATCTCTCCTTTTTCAATCCTGATTTTATTAATTAGAGTCTTTCTCTTTGGTTTTTAATAAGGCTGGCTAATGGCTTATATATATTATTAATTATTTCAATGAACCAACTCCTGGTTTTGTTGTTCTGTTCTACAGTTCTTTTGGTCCCTATTTCATTGATTTCTGCTCGAATCTTTATTAACTTTCTTCTTCTGCTGGGTGTAGGTTTTATTTATTGCTCTTTCTCTAGTTCCTTTAGGTGCAAGGTTTCCTTGTGTATTTGAGTTTTCTCCAATTTTTTGAGGGATGCTTGCATTGCAATGTCTTTCTCTCTCAGGACTTCTTTTGCTGTATCCCAAAGATTTTGAAGAGTTGCATCTTCATTCTCATTAGTTTCAATGAATCTTTTTAATTCTTCTGTAATATCCTGGTTGACCCTTTCATCTTCTACCTGGAGGTTCTTTAACCTTCACGTGTTTGAATTGCTTCCAAATTTCTTCTTGTGATTGAGTTCAAGTTTCAAAGCATTATGGTCTGAAAATATGCAGGGGACAATCCCATTCTTTTGGTATCGGTTAAAACCTGATTTGTGATGCAATATGTGGTCTAATCTGTAAAAATTTCCATGTGCACTTGCGAAAAATATGTATTCAGTTGTGTTTACATGTAAAGTTTTGTAAATATCTGTGAAATCCATCTTGTTCAGTGTATTGTTTAAAGCTCTTGCTTCTTTGGAGATGTTGTGCTTCGAAGATCTGTTGTTTCCAGAAAGTGCCATGTTGAAGTCTCCCAGTATAAGCATTTATTATCTATGTCTTGACTTTGGTTATTAATTGATTGATATACTTGTCAGCTCCCACATTAAGGTCATAAATATTCATGATTATCAGATCCTCTTGTTGGATAGATCCTTTAATTATGATATAGTGTCTCTCTTCATCTCTTACTATGGTCTTCGGGATAATCTTTGATTTATCTGATATGAGGATTACTACCCTTGCTTTCCTTAAGGACCATTTGAATGGTAAATTGTTCTCCAACCTTTCATTTTTAGTCTGGAGGTGCCCATAGGTCTCAAATGAGTCTCTTGTAGACAGCAAATGGATGGGTCTTGCTTTTCTATCCAGTCTGAAAACCTGCATCTTTTGATGGGATCATTAAGCCCATTCACGTTCAGAATTCCTATTGAAAGATATGAATTTAGTGTCATCGTAATACCTATTCAGTCCCTTTCTTTGTGGCTTATTTCTTTGGGCTTCCTCTTTCTTTTCCAGAGTCAATAGTTCTTGCAGAGCTGCTTTGGTGGTCACATATTCTTTCAGTTTCTACCTATTGGAAGCTTTTTATCTCTCCTTCTATTCTGAATGAGAGCCTTGGATAAAGTATTCTTGGCTGCAGTTTCTTTCATTTAGGACCCTGAATATATTCTCCCAGCCTTTTTTGGCCTGGCAGGTCTCTGTGGAGAGGTCTGCTGTTAATCTAATATTTCTCCCAATAAAAGTTAGGCATCTCTTGTCTTTGCTGTTTTAAGGATCTTCACTTTATCTTTGGAATTTGCAAGTTCTACTCTTAAATGTTGAAGTGTTGAACGGATTTTATTGATTTTAGGGGGGATCTCTCTATCTCCTGGATCTGAATGCCTGTTTCCCTCCTCAAGTTAGGGAAGTTCTCAACTATGATTTGTTCAAATATGATTTCTGGTTCTCTGTACCTTTCGGCACCCTCTGGAACCCCAATTAAACATAGATTTTTCCTTCTGAGGTTGTCATTTATTTCCATTAACCTTTCTTCGTGGTCTTTTAATTGTTTTTCTTTTTTCCTCAGCTTCCTTCCTTGCCATCAACTTGTTTTCTATGTCATTCACTCGTTCTACCTCATTAACCCTTGTCATTAGGATTTCCAATTTGGATTGCTTCTTATTCAACTGATTTTTATTTAGGCCTGATTTTTTCTAAATTCTGCATTCATGAAGTCTCTTGAATCCATAAAGGATTCAAAAAGCATAAAGTTTTTTTTCCAGAGCCATCAGTAGCTTTATAATTGTGCTTCTGAATTGGTTTTGACAGCAAATTGTACTCCATCTTTTGTAAATCTGTGGGAGAGAAAACTGTTTCTGATTCTTTCTTTTGTGGCAAGTTCTTCTTTCTAGTCATTTTACTCAGTACAGAGTGGCTTAAAACTAGTTGTACTTGTTAGAAGTGCAAACTCCTCTCTGTAGCATTCCAGCTGTTCGCTCTTTAAATATCAGGTTGAACCCATAGTTTTTCAAGGTGATTTGAAATTTATCTAGGTTAGTTGGTGGGGACAGGTGACTTGGGGACTCTCTTCCTCTGCCATCTTGCCCCACCCCCTGTGCCTGTGTTCTTTATCCACTGATGTATTCATTGGCAATTAGTCGGCTTCTATATCTTGGCTATTATAAATGCTGCTGCATAAACAAATGCACATCTATCTTTGAGAATTAATATTTTTTATTTCTTTTTGTAAATACCCAGTAGTGGAATTTTTAGCTCATATGGTATTTTAATTTTTAATTTTCTGAGGAGCTTCCATACTCTTATCATGGCCAAACCAATTTACATTCCCACCAAGAATGTATAAGGAAGGTTCCTTTTTCTCCACATTCTCCCTTTTCAAATTTTATTTCTTGTGTTCTAGCCACTTTAAAGGCTGTAAGATGATATTTCATTGATTGGTTTTGATTTGCATTTCACTATTAGTGATGTTGAATATCATTTGATGTATCTATTGCTCATCTGAATGTCTTCTTTAGAAAAATGTCTATTCAGGTCTTCTGCCCATTTTTTAATCAGATTGCTTGTGGGTTTTGTTTGGTATTGAGTTGTATAAGTTCTTTATATATTTTGAATATTAAACTCTTATCAGATATATCATTTGCATTTGTCTTCTCCCATTTAGTAGGTTGTCTTTCAGTTTTGTTAATAGTTTCTTTTCCCGTGCAAAATCTTATTTTGATGAAGTCTCAATAGTGCACTTTTGATTTTGTTCCTTTTGCCTTAGGAAACATATATAGACAAATTTTGTTATAGTTGATGTCAGAGACGTTTTTCCTGGGTTTTCTTCTAGGATTTTAAGTGTTTCATGTCTCAGATATAGGGTTTTAGTCCATTATGAGTTTATTTTTGTGTTTCCCATTAATAGGTGGTCCAGTTATATTCATTTACATTTAGCTGTCCAGAGGAAGACATAGACATGGCCAACAAGCACATGAGAAAATGCTCCGTATCACTGGCCATCAGGGAAATACAAATCAAAACCACAATGAGATACCACCTCCCACCAGTGAGAATGGGGAAAATTAACAAGGCAGGAAACCACAAATGTTGGCGAGGATGTGCAGAAAGGGGAACCCTCTTACACTGTTGGTGGGTGAACTGGTGCAGCCACTCCGGAAAACTGTATGGAGGATCCTCAAAGAGTTAAAAATTGATCTGCCCTACTACCCAGCAATTGCACTGCTGGGGATTTACCCCAAAGATACAAATGCAGTAAAATGCCGGGACACCTGCACCCCAATGTTTATAGTAGCAATGTCCAAAATAGCCAAACTGTGGAAGGAGCTTCAGTGTCCATCGAAAATGAATGGATAAAGAAGCTGTGGTCTATGTATACAATGGAATATTACTCAGCCATTAGAAATGACAAATACCCACCATTTGCTTCGACGTGGATGGAGCTGGAGGGTATTATGGATATTAAATAATATCTCTATTATTTATTTTATAATTGAAATTTTGTACCTCTTAATCCTCTTCACCTATTTTGTTCATCCTGCCACGCTTTTCCCCTCTGGCAACCACTAGCTTGTTCTCTGTACCCATGAGTCTGTTTCTATTTTTGTTTATATATTTATTGTTTTTTTTTATTCCAAGTATAAGTAAAATCATATAGCAGCTTTTATATCTTTATCTGATTTATTTCACTTTACATAATACCTTCTAGGTTCATCCATGTTGCTGCAAATGAAAAGATTTAATTCTTTTTATGGTTGAATAATATTCATATATATATATATATATATTACATCTTCTTTAGTTATTTATCTATGGATGGACAGTTGTGTTGCTTCTATATCTTATGTATTATAAATCTGTAGTAAACATAGTGGTTCATATATTTTTTTGAATTAATGTTTTTATTTTCCTCAAGTAAATACATAAAAGTGGAATTGATGGATCATACAGTACTTCTAGTTTTAGTTTTTGGAGAAATCTCCATGCTGTTTTCCACAGTAGTTGAAGCAGTTTACATTCTTACCAATAGTGTTCAAGTGTTTCCTTTTCCATAACTTCACAAATACTTATTTTTTGTCTTTTTGATACCAGACATTATCACTGGTATATATATGTTCTATATTATATCATAACATATCATATCATATCATACTATAAATTATTATTGACACATTACTATTATTACTTATCTTTAAATACCGCACAACTTTAATTGAGGCTTTTTTTTAACAGGCAAGAAGTAAACATCAGAACAAATGATAATTCCATATCAAGTAAGAATTGAGTCTTTGAAGTTCAATATTATTTACATTACATTTACAATTATTTTAGGGACAAATAGCTTGTATCTTCCATTCAATGTAATAGAGCATAAAATACTCCGATATTTTTCTTAATATTTAAAAGTACCGGGATCCCTGGGTGGCGCAGCGGTTTGGTGCCTGCCTTTGGCCCAGGGCGCGATCCTGGAGACCCGGGATCGAATCCCACGTCAGGCTCCCGGTGCATGGAGCCTGCTTCTCCCTCTGCCTGTGTCTCTGCCTCTCTCTCTCTCTCTCTCTCTCTGTATGACTATCGTAAATAAAAAAAAAAGTACCTATATATGTGTGTGTATGTGTATGTGTGTTGGAATGTGTGTTTGATTCAAATATTTCTGACCTTGGGCACCTGGGTAGCTCAGTCAGTTAAGCACCTACCTTCAGCTCAGGTCATGATCAAGTCCCACATCTAGCTGCCTGCTTAGTGGGGAGTCTACTTCTCCCCTCTGCTCCTCCCCCTGCTTGTGCTCTTTTCTCTCTCTCTCTCTCTCTCTCTCTCTCTCTCTCTTTCTCAAAAATAAATAAAAATCTTTAAATTTTTTTAAATCTTAAAAAATATTTCTAACCTTGATGTGGTTTTTTCCTAGCTATTTTAAAAGGAAATAGTTTTTCCTTCCTCATTATAAAAACCAACCTTAATTGCATAAGTTTTCCTTTTATTTAAAATCCACAATTCTGAAACCCAAAGTAAAGAGAAATATATAGTCAAAATCATGAAAATGGACATTTCATTTTGTTGGACAGCTACAACTTAAGGAAAAGTCTCCTTATATATTGAGCTGATATCTGCCTGCACTGATATAAGTTTTACCCATGGAATCTAATCCTCCCCTTAGGAAATACATAGAATTTTCTAACATTGTGATTAAAAGCATGGACTCTGATCCAAAATATCTTTGAATCTTAGCTCTTGTACTTTATGATTTTTGGTAAGCAATTTAACCTCTCTCCGTGCTTCATTTTTGTATATCTATAAAATGGAAGCAATTATAAAAATTATTATCTAATTCAAAGGGTTGTGAAAATTAAATGTGCTTAAAACAGTCTGACAGATAGTAAGCACTATATAAGTGTTAGCATTACAGCTATTCTGTTATTACTATTACTACTACACTTTCATATAAGAATTCTTTAAGTATTTGATATAGTGATCACATCTCTCATTAGTCTCCTTATCTCTAAGAGAACTATTCTGAATTACTTCATCATTTCTTCTTTTGATGTTAGAGCATCCACCTAGTTTGATCACTTTATTCTGGATGCCCTCAAGGGTGTATATGCCATTTTTAAATAGAATTCTCTGAACTAAAGTACGTATTTGGGTATGTAACCCTAATTTCCGTGGCTTGGATGTCATTGAGATCAGAGGAGCACTAAAATAAATAATTAGATTTAATCAACAGACTTTACAGACTACTTTATGCTCTTCATTGTGTTATTATGGGAACTATAGAATTCATAGCATTTGAACAGAACAAAAATGACTAAAGAACAACAAAATAGAGAAGATGATGGAGATGTTTGAAAGGAAATATTAAATTTTTCTCTATTTTCCATTCCAATTGTTTGTATTTTTAAGTACTATGACTTAAGTCAAAATTGTGAAAACTGGTTTAATACAGAAAATAAAGCTACAAATGTGTTCTTATGCATAATTTAGTGCTAAATGGGGAAATTAGCTTTTATTTTCCCTGATATGCAAATAACTACAGACTCCAGGGGGAAAGCTATATTTTAAGTTTAAATTTACCTTAATTTAAACAATGTATTTCTTACTCAAGAATATTTCAGTGCTGATGAAAATCTGACTATTAACTGCAAATTGTTCATTGTACTCACTCATTTTAGTAAGTGAATCAAGCAAAAAAATATGGAATCAAGATTATTTTCCTTTGACATTTCCCAAACTACTCCAGCCAGGTAGAAAAAAGAGATCAAGACCTTCAGAATCACAAATCACAGTTCCTGTAAGTATTGAAAATGTCATTGTTAACTAAATATAAGCTTACATAATATATAAACATAAATAAAAACATATAGTTTGAATTTTAGTTCCTTTTGGAAGCAGATATTTTTAAATTTACTATTGTCTCCATCTGTTTCAAATAAACTTTTATTTATACATAATTCTCCTTTTCAAAGACATAATATAGGTAGTAGGCTGTGTAAGCTACAGAAGCTAATACTGCAACTAGTGGGATCTCTCAGAAAATGTTTACCAGCTGCCAAAACATCTTAACTAAATCTTAGAATATGAGCCAATGTTGATGAGTTTTCAGAGCCTCTTAATTTTCTTTAATCTGGTACTCAGGATACTAGATATTGGGACATTCAAGCTTTCTACCACTTTTTTAAAGTACCATTATCTCATTAATAAGGAAAAGGAAAAGCTAGCTTACAAATAGAGAAGATGATGGACATGTTTGAAAGGAGACATCAAATCTTTCTCTATTTTCCAATTCTACACTTTGTATTATTTTAACTACTATGATTTAAGTGAAATCTGATATCACTCCTAATGATATCAAAATGTGTTTTAAAAGCATTACCCAAAGCAGAGTTACAGTCAATGAATTTCTTCAAATGCCATCCATTACATCTGTAGTGATCCAAGTTTCATGCTTCTCTTCATGGTCCTCCTTTAATTCTATATGACTATTTCATTGACTGGTGATATCCCTATTGAATAGTGAAATGACTATAAAAGATAAATGCAAAATTAGTTTATGTATCCATTATGAGTAACAGATTTGATAGATTTGGGATTGGGAGTTAATATAATTACATTACCACTGCACAAATTAATATGATCTGATATTTATTTCATTTTATGTCCTTGTTTTGGGAAATAACCAATGGCAAGGGTCTCAGGCTCTTGATTTGTTCAGATATCTTGAAAGCAGTAGCAAAACTCTAAGTAAGGCCTGAAACAGTTGTCACAAGAATTGTCATGACAAATTTCAAGGGAATCAGCTTATTTCTGAGCTAACATGAGAATGAAAGGTGCACAAAATGTTTCCAAAGATCTCTCCTATATAGGGATTTAAGAGGAGCCCACTGTCAATGGTGAGGAGGGGCCCTTAAATATCATGGATCATTGTGGGCTTACTCCAATCCCTATTTAAGTCATTGAGAAACTCCTAAGGTTGATAGTCATTTGGCTCCTAATATGGAGTTATCTCACATACTACAATACACACAAAATGTTGAAAATATTTTTTTTCCATTTTAAATAGATGGTTAATGAAAAGCTAGACAATTTTCATGTTTCAGTATAAAAATATAACTTATTTAAAATGTATATCATTATTCTAACTAATCTTTTCAGAAACATGACAAAAGAAAATTAGAGGAAATTCAGAAGCCAGCTCATATAAGGATAAGGCATTCTTCAAAAAAAATTTCCCAAAGGCCATCTGTTTACTTAACAGTTAGGAGACAGGCTCAGTTCAGAAATCCTTATACTCTTAAAGCTTATCCTGAAAATGGAGAATCTAAGAAGTCCAGAGATGACAAAAAAGGAGGAACTTTACAGAGAAATGCCAAGGAGAACAAAAGCCCACATGACACAACTACAGATTGTAAAACAGTAAATGATGAGAAACCTAGAAAAGGAAATAAAGCAGTTAAAACTCCATCAAAAGTATCATGTGAACTATCTAAGAAGTCAAAGTCCAAATTAGCAATAAACCCAGAATCCAATGATTTTGAGGCAATATCAATGTATCCAAAAAAAGATAAGAGAGAGTCAAAGAATTTCAAGGAGACAGATAATGATTTCATATGTGCAAAGAAGGATTCTAAGGATTCACAGAACAATTCTGATGCCAAATCACAGACTTGTTCAAAAAATAGTTCAAATATGGATTACATACTCTATTTCGAGGAGTCTGGTGCTGAATCCATGAAACTTGATATGTGGTTAAAGAATTACTCTCAGAATAATTCAAAGAAGCCTTCGAAGAAGGACACAAAAAAGGATGCAAAGAACTCTGATGCTGAATCTGTAGACTCAAAAGATGCAAAGAAAGATGTAAAGAAAGACAAGAAAGGTACGAAGAAAGACAAGAAGAAGGATTCAAAGAAAGACACAGAGTCTACTGATGCAGAATCTGTAGACTCAAAGGATGCAGAGAAAGAGCCAAAGAAGGCTAAAAAAGACTCAAAGAAAAGTGACAAGAAAAGGGATGCAAAAAAAGACACGGAGACTACTGATGCAGAATCAGCTGACTCAAAGGATGCAAAGAAAGAGTCAAAGAAGGCTAAGAAAGATTCAAAGAAAAATGACAAGAAAAAGGATACAAAGAAGGATGAAGTGTCTACTGATGCTGAATCTGAGTCTGAATTGGAGACAATGAATTGGAAGAAAGATGAAAAGAAGGATAAGGTAGATTCAAAAAAAGATGAGAAGAAAAAGGATGCCAAGAAGGATGAAGTGTCCACTGATGCTGATTCTGAATCTGAATGGAATTCAGAAAAGGGTAAACAAGATGAAAAAAAGGATAAGAGAATTTCAAAAAAAAACAAAAATAAATCTGCAATGAAATCTGAAGAGTCTACTGAAACTGAATCGGATTGGGAGTCAAAGGATAAGTATGAATCAAAGAAAATTAAGAAAGATTCAAAGAAAGATGCCAAGAAACAAGAGTCTACTGATGCAGAATATGATGAATATTCCAAGAGAGACTCAAAGAAGCCTGAGACATTCAAAAGTTCAGATGCTGAATCTGAAGAGTCACTATATAAACTTGAGGCTAAAAAGAAAGGAGTTGATGAATCTGATGCCACATCTGCAGATTCAAAGAAGGAAACACTGGAACTAAAGAGAGAATTCAAAATGTCATCCAAAAAGACTACATTCAAAGAAAAGGGGAAAAAAACAGGTACAGGTAGAGTCCCCCCATTAAGAGAAAAACCACCACTACCTCCTTGTGAGCCTTTACTACCATCACCCAAGATCAAACGTCTCTGTCGGTGCAAGATGCCTCCTGAGCCTCTAAAACCAAGATATGCTCCTTTGGTATGTTTATTGTGTTTTATTTTAGAAAAAAATGACCTAAAATGAAAACTATTTTTAATGATTGAATTTATATTTTCCTTAAGAGTAGTTTAATTTTACTGGAATATTGATAAGTTAGGGACTAACAGATAAGCAAAAATACTAAAAAGGACTCAAAAGAGTTGAAACTAATTGTCAAAAAGAATAATATTTAGATTGACACAAAACTAACTTGTGACTTAAAAATTTAAAATTATTTATAAGGAGAATACTATTACAAGGGTGATTTACTGTTATATTCTTAAGAAATAAAAAATGAAAACTGACTAAAACTTCTACAGGGGTAGATTTTAATGAGATAGAAAGACATTTCTTAATTTATTTTCTCCAGATTTCCTACCATCCTCCTTCCTCCAAAGTCTGGCTGTAACAGAAGCTTAAGTAGACATCTCAATTTAATGTAGGGGCTCCTGTTCCCCATATTCTCCACCCTTGCTGACTCTCTCTGATCTTTGGCTAGGATTTAATTTATTTGCATGCTTTCCAGGCATTATTATATGTCCTCTCATTTCACACAGTGTTTATTGTCAATTCTAAGCATCATAGGACTGACCCACTGTGTTGTGCTAAATTCAGAGCTTCCATAGATATTGCTGAGTCTTAACTTTGAGCTTCTCTTATTAATTGAATCCCTCCCTTTCTCCTCTTCCTTCCCATTCTCATATGCTTATTCCCTCTCAAAGGGCATCTAGTTCCTCTTCTAGTCTCGTGAGGATCTCTCTTTACATTTTATTCCAAGTTTTTCTATCCTTGGTTTACAATAAAATTTTATGTATAGATCTCCATTTCTCTCTCATATATTTTCTCCACATATTCACCACAATTTGTTATTTATCTTTTTGTGTGTGCTTACTCCTTAGCTTTATTTTATTTATTTATTTATTTATTTATTTATTTATTATTTATTATTTATTTATTTACTTATTTAAATTCAATTACCTTTTTGATTTTAGCCATTTTGACAGGTGATATCTCATTGTTATTTTCATTTGCATTTCCCTGAGAATTAGTGATGTTGAGCATCTTTATATGTTTTTTTTATCATCTATAGGTCTTCCTTGGAAAATGTCTGTGCATCTCTTCTGCTCATTCATTTTAACTGGATTCATTTTAACTCATTCTTTTTTATCTTGAGTTGTGTAAATTGTTTACATATTTTGGATATTAACTCTTTATCAGATATATGATTTGCTGCCACATGGTGTGTTCCGATGAGAGATGAAATGATTACTCAGAGTCCAACATCTTGGGAAAAAGAGAGACTCAAAGAGGCTACTCTGTCAGGCACTACCAAGAAATACAGGCACCAAGGTGAAGCCCTGAGTCTAGGTTGGTTTTCAGCCTTATTATAATACAATGTAAAGTATGCGGAAGCAAGGAAGGAAAAACAACTCAAGAAACCAATCACTTGAGGGGCAGCAGGGAACTGTGTATGTAACTATAGGCATGGGTCTCAGAGAAGCATTAACTAGGGGGCTTCAGAGGATGAAGAACTGACCTCAGCAGGCGTGGATATCCACCATCATTGCTGTATTCAACATGTACTGTTTTCAGTACAGAACAATGGCAGGAATAATTGGCTTTTGCCACACAAATAAAGCTGTGGCCATTTATGCATGTTCCTGTTCTTGTTTCTCTTACCCTCTCAGGTCCTGATCTTGCACAATTTAAAAATATCTTCCCTCATTTTTTAGGGTATATATTTTTGTTTTGTTCATGTTTCCCTTCTTTGTGCAAAACTTTTATGTTTTTGTATAGTACCAATTATTTGAATTTGCTATTGTTTTCATTGTCAAAGGAGACATATCTAGAAAAAATGTTTCTATGACTGAAGTCAAGGAGATTACGCCTTATATGTTCTTCCAGGAAATTTATAGATTCAGGTTTCACATTTAAGCCTTTAATCCATTTTGAATTTTTTTTGTGTGTATGGTGAAAGAAAGTGGTACAATTTTATTTACTTATTTGCATGTAGCTGTTTAGATTTCTCCACACTATTTATTGAAGAGATTTTTTTCCCACTATATTCTTCTTTCTTTTGTTCTAGATTAATTGACCATTTAATCCTGGGTTTATTTCTGGGCTTTCTATCCTCTTCCATTGATCTATGTGTCTATTCTTTTTTTAATAAATTAATTTTTATTGCTGTTCAATTTACCAACATACAGAATAACACCCAGTGCTCATCCTGTCAAGTGTCGCCCTCAGTGCCGTCACCCATTCACCCCCACCCCCCGCCCTCCTCCCCTTCCACCACCCCTAGTTCGTTTCCCAGAGTTAGGAGTCTTTATGTTCTGTCTCCCTTTCTGATATTTCACACATTTCTTCTCCCTTCCCTTCTATTCCTTTTCACTATTATTCATATTCCCCAAATGAATGAGAACATACACTGTTTGTACTTCTCCAATTGACTTACTTCACTCAGCATAATACCCTCCAGTTCCATCCACGTTGAAACAAATGGTGGGTATTTGTCGTTTCTAATGGCTGAGTAACATTCCATTGTATACATATACCACATCTTCTTTATCCATTCATCTTTCGATGGACACCGAGGCTCCTTCCACAGTTTGGCTACTGTGGACATTGCTGCTAGAAACATCACGGTGCAGGTGTCCCGGCATTACATTGCATCTGAATCTTTGGGGTAAATCCCTAACAGTGCAATTGCTGGGTCATGGGGCAGGTCTATTTTTAACACTTTGAGGAACCTCCACACAGTTTTCCAGAGTGGCTGCAGCAGTTCACATTCCCACCAACAGTGTAAGAGGGTTCCCTTTTCTCCGCATCCTCTCCAAAATTTGTTGTTTCCTGCCTTGTTAATTTTCCCCATTCTCACTGGTGTGAGGTGGTATCTCATTGTGGGTTTGATTTGTATTTCCCTGATGGAAGGGATGCAGAGCATTTTCTCATGTGCATGTTGGCCATGTCTATGTCTTCCTCTGTGAGATTTCTCTTCATGTTGTTTGCCCATTTCATGATTGGATTGTTTCTTTGCTGTTGAGTTTAAAAAGTTCTTTATAGATTTTGGAAACTAGCCCTTTATCTGATATGTTATTTGCAAATATCTTCTCCCATTCTGTAGGTTGTCTTTGAGTTTTGTTGACTGTATCCTTTGCTGTGCAAAAGCTTCTTATCTTGATGAAGTCCCAATAGTTCATTTTTGCTTTTGTTTCTTTTGCTTTCGTGGATGTATCTTGCAAGAAGTTACTGTGGCCAAGTTCAAAAAGGGTGTTGCCTGTGTTCTCCTCTAGGATTTTGATGGAATCTTGTCTCACATTTAGATCTTTCATCCATTTTGAGTTGATCTTTGTGCATGGTGCAAGAGAGTGGTCTAGTTTCATTCTTCTGCATGTGGATGTCCAATTTTCCCAGCACCATTTATTGAAGAGACTGTCTTTCTTCCAGTGGATCGTCTTTCCTCCTTTATCGAATATTAGTTGACCATAAAGTTGAGGGTCCACTTCTGGGCTCTCTATTCTGTTCCATTGATCTATGTGTCTGTTTTTGTGCCAGGACCACACTGTCTTGATGACCACAGCTTTGTAGTACAACCTGAAATCTGGCATTGTGATGCCCCCAGCTATGGTTTTCTTTTTTAAAATTCCCCTGGCTATTCGGGGTCTTTTCCGATTCTACACAAATCTTAAACTAATTTGTTCTAACTCTCTGAAGAAAGTCCATGGTATTTTGATAGGGATTGCATTAAATGTGTAAATTGCCCTGGGTAACATTGACATTTTCACAATATTAATTCTGCCAATCCATGAGCATGGAATATTTTTCCATCTCTTTGTGTCTTCCTCAATCTCTTTCAGAAGTGTTCTATAGTTTTTAGGGTATAGATCTTTTACCACTTTGGTTAGGTTTATTCCTAGGTATCTTATGCTTTTGGGTGCAATTGTAAATGGGACTGACTCCTTAATTTCTCTTTCTTCAGTCTCATTGTTAGTGTATAGAAATGCCATTGATTTCTGGGCATTGATTTTGTATCCTGCCATGCTACCAAATTGCTGTATGAGTTCTAGCAATCTTGGGGTGGAGGCTTTTGGGTTTTCTATGTAGAGTATCATGTCATCGGCGAAGAGGGAGAGTTTGACTTCTTCTTTGCCAATTTGAATGCCTTTAATGTCTTTTTGTTGTCTGATTGCTGAGTCTAGGACTTCCAATACTATGTTGAATAGCAGTGGTGAGAGTGGACATCCCTGTCTGGTTCCTGATCTTAGGGGAAAGGCCCCCAGTGCTTCCCCATTGAGAATGATATTTGCTGTGGGCTTTTCGTAGATGGCTTTTTAGATGTCGAGGAAAGTTCCCTCTATCCCTACACTCTGAAGAGTTTTGATCAGGAATGGATGCTGTATTTTGTCAAATGCTTTCTCTACATCTAATGAGAGGATCATATGGTTCTTGGTTTTTCTCTTGCTGATATGATGAATCACATTGATTGTTTTACGAGTGTTGAACCAGCCTTGTGTCCCGGGGATCAATCCTACTTGGTCATGGTGAATAATTTTCTTAATGTGTTGTTGGATCCTATTGGCTAGTATCTTGTTGAGAATTTTTGCATCCATGTTCATCAGGGATATTGGTCTGTAATTCTCCTTTTTGGTGGGGTCTTTGTCCGGTTTTGGAATTAAGGTGATGCTGGCCCCATAGAATGAATTTGGAAGTACTCCATCTCTTTCTATCTTTCCAAACAGCTTTAGTAGAATAGATATGATTTCTTCTTTAAACGTTTGATAGAATTCCCCTGGGAAGCCATCTGGCCCTGGACTCTTGTGTCTTGGGAGGTTTTTGATGACTGCTTCACTTTCCTCCCTGGTTATTGGCCTGTTCAGGTTTTCTATTTCTTCCTGTTCCAGTTTTGGTAGTTTGTGATGTTCCAGGAATGCGTCCATTTCTTCTAGATTGCCTAATTTATTGGCATAGAGCTATTCATAATATGTTTTTAAAATCGTTTGTATTTCCTTGGTGTTGGTAGTGATCTCTCCTTTCTCATTCATGATTTTATTAATTTGAGTCTTTTCTCTCTTCTTTTTTATAAGGTTGGCTAATGGTTTGTCTATCTTATTAATTCTTTCAAAGAACCAACTCCTGGTTCTATTGATCTGTTCCACAGTTCTTCTGGTCTCAATTTCGTTGAGTTCTGCTCGAATTTTAATTAGCTCTCTTCTTCTGCTGGGCGTTGGGTCCATTTCCTGTTTTTTCTCTAGCTCCTTTATATGTAAGGTTAGCTTTTGTATTTTAGTTCTTTCCAGATTTTGAATGGATGCTTGTATTGCGATGTATTTCCCCCTCAGGACTGCTTTTGCTGCATCCCATAGATTTTGAACGGTTGTATCTTCATTCTCATTAGTTTCCATGAATCTTTTTAATTCTTCCTTAATTTCCTGGTTGACCCTTTCATCTTCTAGCAGGATGGTACTTAACCTCCACGTGTTTGAGGTCCTTCCAAACTTCTTCTTGTGATTGAGTTCTAATTTCAAGGCGTTATGGTCTGAGAATATGCAGGGGACGATCACAATCTTTTGGTATCGGTTCAGACCCGATTTGTGACCCAGTATGTGGTCTATTCTGGAGAAAGTTCCATGTGCACTTGAGAAGAATGTGTATTCAGTTGAGTTTGGATGTAAATTTCTGTAGATATCTGTGAAATCTATCTGGTCCAGTGTATCATTTAAAGCTCTCGTTTCTTTGGAGATGTTGTGCTTAGAAGACCTATCGAGGGTAGAAAGAGCTAGATTGAAGTCACCAAGTATAAGTGTATTATTATCTAAGTATTTCTTCACTTTGGTTAATAATTCGTTTAAGTATTTGGCAGCCCCCACATTCGGGGCATATATATTGAGGCTTGTTAAGTCCTCTTGCTGGATAGATCCTTTAAGTATGATATAGTGTCCCTCTTCATCTCTCACTACAGTTTTCGGGGTAAATTTTAGTTTATCTGATATAAGGATGGCTACCCCTGCTTTCTTTTGAGAACCATTTGAATGGTAAATGGTTCTCCAACCTTTTATTTTCAGGTTGTAGGTGTCCTTCTGTCTAAAATGAGTCTCTTTTAGACAGCAAATAGATGGGTCCTGCTTTTTTATCCAGTCTGTAACCCTGTGCCTTTTGATGGGGTCATTGAGCCCGTTCACGTTCAGAGTTACTATTGACAGGTATGAGTTTAGTGTCATCATGATATGTATTTAGTCCTTGTTTTTGTGGATTGTTCCACTGAACTTCTTATTAAAGGGGAATTTTAAGAGTCCCCCTTAAAATTTCTTGCAGAGCTGGTTTGGAGGTCACATATTCTTTCAGTTCCTGCCTGTCTTGGAAGCTCTTTATCTCTCCTTCCATTTTGAATGAGAGCCTTGCTGGATATAGTATTCTTGGTTGCATGTTCTTCTCATTATGACCCTGAATATATCCTGCCAGCCCTTTCTGGCCTGCCACGTCTCTGTGGAGAGGTCTGCTGTTACCCTAATATTCCTCCCCATGAAAGTCAGGGACTTCTTGTCTCTTGCTGCTTTGAGGATCTTCTCTTTATCTTTGGAATTTGCAAGTTTCACTATTAAATGTCGAGGTGTTGAAGGGTTTTTATTGATTTTAAGCGGGGATCTCTCTATTTCCTGGGTCTGAATGCCTGTTTCCCTTCCCAGATTGGGAAAGTTTTCAGCCACGATTTGTTCAAATACATATTCTGGCCCTCTGTCCCTTTTGGCGCCCTCAGGAACCCCAATTAAACTTAGGCTTTTCTTCCTTAGGCTGTCATTTATTTCCCTTAATCTGTCTTCATGGTCTTTTAATTGTCTGTCTCTTTTTTCCTCAGTTTCCCTCTTTGCCATTAACTTGTCTTCTATGTCACTCACTCGTTCTTCCACCTCATTAACCCTCGTCGTTAGGACTTCTAG